CGCTGACCTTCTTCTGTGTCTCACGCCAGTGTGCCCTGATGCTCCCACCCTGCCCTCTGGGTCCCGGCCCTCCTCACAGCGCCATCACTCTGGGAGAGTGCAGGGTTGACGTCCTGCCATCTGGTAATGGGAGGCAGGCCCAGTGCCGCCCTGGCCTTGGTGTAAGAGGGAAGACCCAGATCCCGGCCCCGCTGCAGGCAGCTGGCCAAGTGGTCTGTGCGGGAAAACTTCAGTGGCCCGGGCCAGAAATCTGTGAATGCGATAGCAGAAAGTCTGAGGAAGCTCAACCATACCAGAACTCCTCCAGCCCATGCCCCACACTCCAACCAGCCCAGGGGGACTTGAGACATACAGAGGGAGCTGTGGCCGTCAGGTCAGAAGCTCTCTCAGCAGTGAGACAGTGCCAGCTCCCAGCCCTGGTAGCCCTCCCTGCCTGGCTCTGGAGCTCCACCTGAACCTTCTCCCAGGGGCCAGGGCTATACAGCCTACAGGGGCAGTCTTGGCCTCACCCCGCACATCTTCAACCACCACATGGTCCTCTCGCTCAGCAATCTGGGAGGCCATGCCCAGCAGCAGTGCATCTACATCTTCTGCTCTTTGCAGGTTTGGGTGCTATAGGGGTGAGGAGAGGAGAGGGGTGAGGTTAATGGGGCCAGAGGCTGGGCAGCCAGGCTCCCTCCACCCTGTAGTCCCCCACCCAGTCCTGCTGTTCACTCCCAGACTGGTGGGTCACTCCTCTTCCACCAGTTAATTCCCCACTCAGGGTGCGTGATGTCCCCATTCAAAGCCCATGCTGTTGGGATATGGGTCTTCTTAAGCACAAGGAACCAAAAACTTTATTTCTTCTATTTTAGGAGACTTGAGAATATGGGTGACAAAGATGCTAGAAGGTCTAGGTCTCGGTCCTTGTTCTGTTTACCGACCAGCTGTGTGATTATGGGAAAGTCATGGGACTTCTCTGAACCCAGTGTCCTCTTCTGACTAAAAAGGGCATTAGAGACTAATAAAATAACAAATAAAATTAATGAAATAATAGAACGGGACTAGGAGAACACTGAGGCCTCTTGCCGCTGAGGTCCGTGACTCTGACCCCATGCCCTCCTCCTCTGTCTTCCCCTCCCTCCTCCCTTCCTCTCCTATGAACACTGAGTTTGCTTTAAATCAGTGACCAATGCTCTGGACCCACGCTGACCTGGTTTGGACAGACAGACTATCTCTGGTAATCTCTCAGAATTCCTCCTTCTTCCTTGCCCCCAACCCACAAAAATACATTCACATGCTGCCCTGGGTGTGTCTAACTAGGACGTTTCCTTGGGGGCAGTGATAGTGGGGCACTCCAAGGCCTACAGGGCTGTTAAGGGAGAAGAAAAACCTAGGAGGAAGAAATGAATGCAGAGCCGCACCGACACAGGTCCCACTGCCTCTCTCACAGCCCTGAGGTGAGAGTAGAGGGTTGACTTTTGACCATGTACAGCTACCTGGTCGTCTCAGACACGGGTAGGGGAGATGCCTCCTCCACCCAGCCCATCCCAGCTGGCTGCCTACTGCCCACCTTCACCACACACCCCAGTATGCATGCACGCATGCACGTAAGCACAGACAACACACATACACCCACCCACATGTCTGTCCCCAGCCCTGACCTTTCGGCTCCAGTAGCTGTTACAGACTCGGAGAGCTCTGGAGACAGTTGAGTTCTGATTGATGATCTTCTGAAAGTGGCAGCTGGAATTTCTGAAATACAAGGAGTAGGGGAGTGCTGACTGAGACCCCGGGGTCCTAACGTCAGGCATCAGCTCTGGTTTTCCAGGCCTTGCTTCCCTGGGTGGTATGTGGTCAAGGTAGACTCTGAATGATCTGATTTTGGGGTGGTCCCTCATCCCACATCAGACCAAACATCGAAAAATGCATCCACAGAGCTCGCACAGGCTCTCTTGTGTGTTCTCTCTCCACATACAGGCGTACATTTTAAAAGAATATTTAATGGTTCTTTTGAAATTACTTGTCTATGGATAACTCAATTGCTACAATTCCTTGGCCATCACCAGGCACATCAGAAATTGTTCCAGAGTAAGAAAATCTAATCTATGGATTGTTTTAAAGTATAATGCAATTGTAAAAGGTACACTGACATATTTTGCTTTGTATATATTTACTTAAATGTACATTTTTAGTTTAAAGCTCATCTTTATTATTTTGGAGCCAATATTTTCTTCAGCTCTCATACATTTTTATTATAATTGCCCCCAAAAGGTTTATAAGCTCCAGGTCCTCTGTTTACAGTAAAAATGCCCTCAGGGCAGTGTTAAGACCTGAACTTCAGGCCCACAGGCTTTGTGACTCACCCTCTGAGCCTCCATTAGCCTGTCTTAAACTGGGGGATTAATATCCACACCAGTTGCAGGAAAACCAACGTAAAGGTACTTTACAACCACAACGATACCTCTTTTTAAACAATTGCTTTTATTCTTCCCCTCCATATTCACTGTTCCCTGGGGGAACGAGCACACTTCAGATTGGTACTCCTGTTCTAAAGATTCCTGAGGGCAATTTTCTCAATTGACAAGCCCCCCCCCCCCCACACACACACACTCACAGTCCCTTTGCCCTTAGCCTTTCCCAACACACACTTCAACGCTCCCTCACCTCATGTAGACGCCAGGGGGCACCATGGTGGAGAAGAACTGCTCAGAGGCCACCAGGAACTCTGGGGAGATGCTGGGGTCCAGGAAAGGGCGGTACCCTGCTCCACGGGAGTAACGGGACAGTAAGCTCCTCACCCATCCCCCTCCTCCCAGAACAAGCACCGACCTGCCTTTCCCACTATGGATCCGAACCACCACCTCCCCTCAGCCCAGGTGCCCCCGGTACCCTCACCTCTATATTCTGGGGGTGTTTGCTGCAGGAAGCTGGGCAGCCACTCATACAGAGCAATGTTCTGAGGGTCAAGAAAGAGGAGAGGGAAGGCGAGTGCTCCAGCTGCCAGGCCAGGGGGATCTGAGCCCAAGGAAGCCTTAAGTGGGAGAGGATGAGCAGGCAGGGGCAGTCATGGAGAGGGGACTCCAGTAGCAGAGATGCTGAGGCCGTCCCCTCACGGAACAGGGGACTTCAGGGGGTGGGTGCAGCTCAATTTCCTGCATAAGTGACACTTTGTCTCCTTATCATTTCAGGGTCTATTCCTGCACACTGGCTCTCTGGGGAGGGATGGACTCCCGGAAAAGGGTGTTTCTGGGTGGGGGATGTCCGAGGATGGAGGGCTCTGCAGGGAAGCAGAGTGTCCTGTGGACCAGGAGACGGGGTCGGGGGAGGGAGGGCAGTCCACTGACCTGGTAAGTGGCGATGACCCTCTTGCGCGCGTGCTGGAACAGCTCCTCGTCGCCCCAGTGCGGGTGCTCCCCAGCCAGCTTCTGTGCCAGCAGATTGTGGTAGCGGAACCACAGCAGGCCCAGCGCCTGCAGGAAGGGCTCGCGGTTCCCTCGCTCCGCCCCGAAGGCTGCATCCGACGCGGGGACACAGGGGGGGACGTGAGAGGCTGTGTGGCCCAGGGGGGCGCCACCTCGCTGACCCCAGTCCCCGCCCGAGCAGCCGCGGACGCTCCAACCCGCCCGCGCCCCCGCCGGGCCCCGCGGCCTCACCGTACAGCCCCCGGGGCCCGCGCTGTCCCGTGGCGGGCGCGGGCGGCGTCCACATGAGCAGGGGGGCCTGCGCATCCCGGGGGAAGGCGGGGTCGGGGCCGGACGCCAGCTGTCCCCCCGAGAAGCTCCGCAGCGCGTCGCTCCAGGAGTGCGAGGAGCCGTAGATGGCGCTGCCGTCCAGCCAGCCCGTCACCTGGTTGATCTGCGAGGGTGTCGGGCCGGTGAGCCGGGGCTGGGCAGTCGAGGTGGGTAAGGGAGGGCCAGGGCCAGGCGGGCGCCTGCGGGTGGGGTGGGGGGGTGGGAGCCCCTCCCCGCCGACGCCCGGAGCCCGGAGCCCCACCTGCCCGGGGTCCAGCTCCTGCCCCGCCGCCTGCCTCGTCTCACCAGGTCCCGGGGGTTGCTGGGGCTCCGTCCGGTCTTGGGGTCCCAGCGGCTCCTCTGGAAGGGCAGCACCACGTCCCCGCGCCGGTCCGGGTCGAACACGGGGTCTCCGGGCGGGATGTGGATGTTGAGGAATTCGGCGGGGCAGCCGGGTCTGTCTATGCTCACCAGGTCGGAGAGCAGGTGGTAGCCTGCCAGCGATGGGGGAGGGTGTGCTGGGGCCAGCTAAGGCCACTCTCCTTTCCTCCCCAGGTATTTAGCGTCTCCATACCCAGCCCCAAGCTTCAAAGACTCAACGGCCATCATGGGCAAGTCCCTGCCTTGACCTTGCCCATAGTTTCCGAAAAACTGTTACATCCTGGTCCAAACTGTTTTCACTGCCAGTTTGGCCTTCTCCCTGGTAACTGGGCGGTGCCCAGTGAGTGTGCCTAGGCATTCAGCCTGGCAGCATGGGCTCCAACAAGCTGTTGGGAGCAGCCTGCCCAGGGGACCTGCCAGCTTCCGTGGCATGGTGGACACTGGGAAGCAAGTATGGGCACCAGAATTGCCAGCATGAGCCTGGCATTCCTGCTGAAAGCCAACAGACCAGTCATTAGAGTCAGAGGATCCTAGCTCCCCCATTTTGAGACCTCTCCAGACCTCCCACCAAGATAAGAACCCTTCCCTGCACCTGTCCTGGGAGCCACAGAGGCCAAGTGAGAACCGCATCCTGGGTCCCTACCAGATTATTTTCATGCTCCTGGTTCTATCCTCAGTGCCATCAGCAGCTCAGCCTGGGGCACATTTATACCTCCTCCAGCCAGACTTTCTCCCTCTGCTCCCACCCCTACCCCGCCCCATCACCCGCGCCTCCATCTCTCTCCCCTGTCCCTCTGACCCTCTGGCACTTCTCTCCCTCACTCCCTGAGTCCCCCCTCAGACACAGAGGTGTCTAGCTGACCCCACTGGCCTCCCTCCACTACAGGTTGAGGCCCTTACCGAAGAAGACCCCCAGCACTGTGCGGTTTTGCAAGGAGGCCTGCCCGGCAGGGCCCCTCATGGCAGTGTTGCTGAGGTCTCGGGGGTTGGGCAGGTAAGGTTCTCCCAAGGGCTGGTACACACCATCTGCATAGGTGGCTGGGACCAGGCGCTGCAGCCGATATCCTGGGATGAGAAGGGACAAGGACCAGTCCTCAGGGGGGCTCCTTGACCTCCTCTTCCCAGGCTTCCTCCAAACCACCAATCGTAAAACCTTAGGAATGGACGAGCCTTTGCTGGTGCCTGCCAGTCCTTGCCCCTTAGCAGTGGGCACCACCCTGACCCTGGGGCTCTGTGTCCACTTGGTTCTCACCTACCTTTGCTGCCCCATCTGTGCTCCATGAGGTTGTTGTACCACCCATCAAATCGCTGTACCTCCCACGAAATGGGGTTCTGAGCTCCTGTGTGAGAATGGAGGAAGGGGTGGATGGGCAAGTCAGTACAAGAGAGGATGGGTAGGCCTGCGGGATATGCATCCTGTGATCCTGGTAGCTGGGTCAGCATGGATACCCAGCACAAGTGTGGGAAGTAGGGTACAGAGGGAGAGAATCAGAGCAAAGTGATGCCCAAATTCAAGACCAATCTTTAAGCTGTTGGTGGCGGGCGGAGCTACGGCAGAGAGCACTAAAGGACTGTAGCTAGGTATCCAGGCGCAGTGTCCTGACAAATGGCCTCAGAGAGGAAAAGGAAGCAGAAGGGTGGCAATGGGGAAGGGGACCCAGGAGATTTCCATTGCCCTCACACCTGAAGTCCTTTGGGGACGCAGCAGGACAGAAGCCATTCCAAGCCTTAAGACATCATACAGAGCAAGAGCCAGCCACTCCCCAAAAGCCAGCCACTCTTTCACCCAGGGAAGGACGTGTGATTCTGTGACCCATCTCTAGGCAGGGGCAGTATGGAGAGGGCCGTGGCCCTCTCCTGCTGAGCGGAGCCCCCGGGAAGGATGTGGGCCGCACGTTTCCGGTTTCGGTCTTTTTCTCAGTTCCTTGGGGGGGATCAGGGACTAATAGTCATGTGGATAACCCCGCCCCTTCCCCTCTTTGGGGGCATCATATCCCCCATATAATTCTTCCTCTTGACCTTATTGTACTCCAAAAAAGCTAGGACTCAGGAGGGAGCACTCAGCTGTTGAGGGAAAAACAGGTAATGGTAGCAAAGGGAAGGATCCAAAATCAGAAATATAGCAGGGGTCCTTCTGGTCAGTAGGTCAGGTGATCAGCCAGGTTTCTTTGCCCAAACTAGGAAGCTACATGGTTGAGCCTTCCTCTCTCCTCACCTCAGAGAACACAGCAAAGAAGAGGACTTTCACCAGCCAGAGAAAGACCGCTGATTGTCTCCCCACTTAGGTGAAGGACAGGATCTCAGAATGACCCTCCTGCCCCATACCAGGGACACACACACACACACACACACACACACACACACCAGGAGGTCAGAGAGGGAAAATGACTCAGGCTCTTATATTTGAGCAAAGTATTGAGGACAGCAGAATAAGTGACTCCAAAATATGTCACTTTGACATGTGGGTTATTTTGAGCTGGAGGCAATCAAGACACAGTACTCAAGAAAAAAAACTACCTTTCCCTTAACCACCTGAAAAAAGAAAATTAGATAGGGGGCCTGGCTCAGGAAGAGGGCTAATACTAGAGATAACTTTTCATCTGTATGCAGGGCAAACATCTAACCAAACATCTGCTCTTTTCATGGTCCTGTGAATTTCCCTCCTCCCCTTTGAAGCCCCGGGCCCCTATCCCATTTCTCAGTTTAGGATCAGCAAAGAAGCCTCAACCACCCCATTTGCTCTTAGGTCTCCTGTTTTTATGGTGCTCTCATATGCATGAAATTCAATTTGTTTTTCTTCTGTTAATCTGTTTTATGTCAATTTAATTATTAGATTAGCCAAAAAATTTAGAAGAGAAGAAGGGGAAAATTTCCCACCACTACAGAACCCAACTAAGGATGTAGACTGGGGGCAGAAATAAGGCAGCCACATACATGTGATCTCTAAAATAAGATGAACTGGCCCCGACCAGCGTGGCTCAGGTGGCTGGGCAAAGTCCCACAAAGTGAAAGGTCGCTGGTTCGATTCCCAGTCAGAGCACATGCCCTGGTTGTGAGACCATCCTAGTTGCGCCATACACCCCGAGAGGCAACAAATTGTGTTTCTCTCTCACATCGATATTTTGCTCCCTCCATTCTCCTTTCTCTAAAAATAGATAAATAAAGTTTAAAAAATAAAACAAAACAAGATGAAGTGGTGGCAGAACATAAGGTGGGGGCTGTAGGGAAGGGGTGGTGGAGAGTGCCTCTGGAGAATAAGAGGCAAGAGAATAGGAAAATCTAAGGCCAAACCCAGGGACAGCTGCAAGGAATGAGAATGGGAGCAGCTTTGGCAAGAGAGAAGCTGCAGCGGCCGTCTCACCGCCCTGTGCCTCGAGCCTGGATGGATTATTCCACAGGTTTCCTTTGCCCCCTGTTCTTGCATCTCCTGATGATCAGGGACTCGTTCTTTGTCAGCAAACTTGTGGCACGTGAAGCCCATTTCCCTCCTCAGAGACTCAGACTACAGAGAATGGCCTCAGATTTCAGTAACAGACTGTCCGAAGCTGAAGGTAACCAGATGAAACTCTTGTGTATTGAATTTTTTAAATCATATTGTTTTTAAAACATTGGTGACTTCCCTCTAGGGAAGTGAGCTTTCAATCCAATCTGACCCCAAGATCCTTTATTTTCTTGTGTGTCTAATCAATCTTTTCTTATTTGGGGTCAGTGGTCCTTATTTTAGGAAGAGAGAAAATAAGGGAGAGATGAAAGGACCCCGGACTATAAGTAATGGAATAGGATGTGCTGATTTGGGGAAACGTTTTATTCCATTACCCATTCATCTAGTCAGCAAGCTAGAAGTGAGCACCCGACTGTGTGCAGACTGCTGTTTTACCTAGGGAGCGGGGATAGAGGTGAAGGTGATACAACTTCTGTCCTTGGGAAAACCCAGAAGATGCTGGGTTCCTCTGCTCCTGGCCATAGTTCTCCCCCAATCTGTACTCACCTGTAACCATCCATGGCCCAACCAGGACAGTCCATGCCAGAGCCAGGCAGAAGCCCATGATGAAAATGGAGAACACCTTAAAATGGAGTCCCTAAAAAAGACAAAGCACACAGAGAATGAGCCCCAGCAGTGCAGGAAAGTCAGGCCAGGGACTCTGAACCAAGGTCCCTGTGGATCAAGGCATGGGCCAAGGGGCAGCAAAGACTAGGAGACTCTCTCCCTTCCAAGAATCTTCCATTTATTCAACAAGTACTTAATGAGCTTGCACTATGTAGCGGGCGCTGACCTAGGCACTGGAGATTAAGTGGTGAACAAAGCAAATGGAAATCCCCACCTTCCAGGACTCCCGCCTCAAACTAATTGGAGAACCTTGTTTTGACCCAGCCTACTGCAGAGTATGTTTCTTGAACAGAGAGAGCCTTGCTTAGAAGGCCAGGCCCCTGGCTATGGTGCTGCTGCCAGAGCACTGTGTAGATCTCAGGTCATTTATTGGATCTGGACCTTGGTTTCCTTTTCCAGCTATGAAAGTCAACATGTCTGAACTGTCTACCTTCTAGCACGGTTGCTGGAATCAAATGTGAGATTAAAAAGTGGCCAGTGTTATGTAAATGTGATACAGAGAGGGTGGGTTGGAGCTTGAGTCCTCCGAGTCCACTCGGAGGAATTCCTGTGTTCAGTGCTGACTTCCTGCTCTCTCTCCCTAGGCCAATAAATCACCCAGGGACAACAGGGAAACTGGATGGCGGGGAACTCAGTGTGTGACTTCTGAGTGGCACAGGTGTGCTCAAGGCCAGTGAAGACCTCCCAAAGGTAGAGTGGAGCCTGAGGGTGGACTGGGGCTGGGGAACCATCTAGTGGAGGAAAGGGAGCTCATGCAAAGCCTCATCTCTAGCCAAACCCTCTGGGCTTCTGGATGGGTTGTCTAGTTTCACAGGAGGAAACTCAGGATAACCTCATCCCCACTGGCCATCTCCCGTTAAATGAAAAAACATAGGCCCTGTCATAACTCAAAAGCTTGGTGTTCCACCCATTCCAGCCCACAGACTGTCCAGAGGCCGGCCTTTGATAGTCTGTGAAGAGTAGGGCTCTGGGTGGTTGAAGCTGTAAGGCTGGACATACTGAAGTGGCCACAGCAGTCCCTGAATGATCTAGGATGTCCTGCCTCTCCCTTCCTACCATGCTGGCTTCTGGGTTTTTGGTGCCAGACACCAATGGACCATCCAACCCATAAAGACACGCAGTGAGCCTTCAGGCCAGGCCGTGGGGACAACCTGAAGAAGATGGACTTGCTTAGTAACAGCTCCTGGTGGGTGGGCAGCCACATGATTAACACAGCAACATGGGTTCAGTAACTTCTCAGCAACCTTGAAAGGAAGGCAGTAAACCTCGGGAAAGGGCAGTAAAGCCCCAGGCAGTGGCAGAACCAAGGAGAGAATACAGGCCTGCCTCGTTGTCCACCCATGTGGCAATTTTTCCAGCCATGAAGGCCTAGTGTGGTGGGGAAAGGATGAGGCAAGGCCCTAGGAGTTCCAACTTGGTCCCAAGGGAGGGCTGAAGAGGAAAGCATGGTTTCTCAAGGCCCCAAATCCCCTCCTGGCATCACGTGCTGGTGCCAGGAGGAGCTCCGGAGAGATTCCCCTAAGCCCAAGCAAACCAGGCCACCCAACACTCAGAAACTAAAGCATCCAGTCTCCGGAAACCTTAGTAGGGTGGAGGATGGGCCCTAACCCGGCCCACTGTAGCCTCAGGCGAACGAAGAACGGAGGCGCGGAAGGGTCAGGCTGGATTCCCTTCCCTCAGAAAAGTGGAGCTGCGGCGCGCTCGGACGCAGCCTTGCCGCCGGAGCTGTCCCCACCCAACCCCCGTCCGAGCGCCCAGATCCGCGGGCCCAGAGAAGCCCCCCGAGATCTGACCTGTGGCTGCGGTGTCGCCTGAGCAGGGACTGCAGCTTGACTCCCGTCTGGCTCGCAGTTGGGCCCCGACGCCGGCTCGCGTCCGCTTCCCTCTCCCGCTCGGCGCCGAGTCGGGCGGGCCTGGGCAGTGCAGAGGAGACGGCGCGCCCGGTTCCACGGCGGGGCGGGGCGGAGTGGGGCGGGATAGAAACCCGAGCTCGGGGGACCGGGTGAGGTGCTCCAAGGGGACCTGGGCGCGCAAGGTGAGACACCAGGTGCTCGCGGGACCCAGACGGAGGGAACGCCCTGTCCGTGACTAGGGCTCGGCCAGTTCGGCCAGGTGGACGGCGAAAAGGGCAAGTCCGCTTCTGCGGGTCTGCTGCGACCGGGAGAGGGAGAAAGACGGAGAGCGTGCAGGGGGACAGGGGGCGGTCCCCAAATTCTCGCCATTTCGGTAGTTCTGGGCTCCGAGACTAACAGATCCATCAACACCCGAAGACCTGGCCGGGCGTCCAAGCGAGGCACCGGTCTTCAGACCCTGTTGGAGCCTGTGCTAACCACACCCGCCGGAGGCTTCACCGTGAGATCTCCACGGTCTCGCTGTGCCCGCGCCCCGCCCGCACCCCGAACCGCGTCGCTAGGTTCGCGCCGGAGAGGCCCGGGGTGCTGGGGGTGGGGGGAGAGAAGGAGCGGTCGGAGGGAGGGCTGCGAAGTGCCAGGCTGGTGTGGAGCAGCGCCGCGGGGCCGGGGTGCGGTCTGGGAAGGTCCAGGGTAACTTAGAGTGGGAGGCGGGGAAACATCGCAGACCCCGTTCGTCCGGTCACAGCCTGGTCCTTACGTGAATGGGAAGAGTGGGGGGTGGAAGGAGGTCCGCCGATGGAAAGGGTTCGCACTTTGGTGAGGGAACGTCCGCACCGTGTCTTTCTCTAATTCCACCCCCCAGAGCATCGCGTGTGAGTTTCCACAAGGAGGAGGCCAGCTGTGCGAGTTGCCACTCACGGATCGTTGGTAAGAGGAGAAGGTAGGCAACCTCGGTCCCGTGTGAGTGGCGGGGATGCGGCTGTTGGGGTCGAAGCGGTCCGGGTGGGTTTTGGAGGGGGCCTTGAAGTGCCGTCCTCGCCCTGGCCCCTAGGGGCGCACTTGTGTCCACCCTGATCAAAATCTGATCCTCAAAGAGAAAGCTTGGTAAGAAACTAAGAGGAGGCAAGGAAAACCTCATAAAGCCATAAATGCCACAAGGCTTACAGGCATCAAATCTTTATCTGGAGTCTGGATAGATTGGCTTGTATGATTCAACACCTCTGGGATCCTTACCTACCTAGGCCCTTACTGGGGATTCTTGCCTCAACCTATTTTTCAGATCTTGTTCTGATTTTCCACTTAACTTTTTCTTTAGTGCAACAGTACGTATACACATGCCCACACACGTTCCTGAAGAGCAGAGGCTGGGACAGGAGTTTCTGACAGAGTCTCCTTAGCCAGCCAGGGCTGTAAAGTTTTAATGGGGTCAACCCCAACCAGAGAAATAAACCATCAATCAATCACATTCTAGTAACTGTGTATCACCAATCAGAGCTCCTAGTAACTACAGGCATGTGACCCACCCCCCCTTTGTAGAGAATTAATAGTCCTTACTCTGTAGGTTCCAGAGATGGGAGAAGTGGACAGGAGACTTCAGGAAGAAATTCCTGTCAAGTTATAAGAGAGGCCACAGAACCACAAGAAAGTGCATACAAATTTTGGATGCTAAAGACTCTTGCTTGTACTAGGACAACTTTTCGTAAAGGCTGGAACCATTTCTTGCTCAACCCTCATACATACGTAGAATGTAGGAAGCCACTTCATCCTATGGCAGGGGGGATTGGATAACCATGTCTGGAACACAACCAAGCATGAGAAATGCTTCAGTATTGTAAGGGACTTCGGAAGAGGAGAGATGTCCCTCACCTCTCCAGGTCAGGTGATAAAGGAGGACCCCAGTGTGTGAGGACTGGCCTGCCCCAGTGAGAACTGCCCCAGTGTTGTCGCAGGAGCCTCGGGTGCAGGGTTTTTGTGTCTAGACGTCTGTGTTGCTGGGAACTCCTTTCTGGTGCCCGTGTTTCTGTTTATATGAACTTATAGTGTATGTCTGATTGTATCTTGCGCTTATTAATACAAATATACATTGTGTGCATATACCAATCATGGCGGTAAGCTCAGGGAAACGTGAATCAAGTGAAGACTTACATAAGACTTTTTATCAAATAGGAAAAAATTCTACAGTCAGAACCTCCTTGGCAAACTAGGGAGGAAGCCGTCTATGGGAAACTCTAAGCTTCATAGGAAAAGGAGAATTGCTGGGTGTGGAAACTTTTCATGTTAGTCCCATCTCTTCATACAGGAGGCCCGTTGACTTAATAATTAAAATCAAATTAAGATCAGGGTCATGAAAAATTAACTTTAAACTGGGCAGTGTAGATTAAGGAGGACGTAATTCATTAAATTGAGCAAGAAGAAATTAATCAAGGCAAATTTCATTCACCACTGTCTTTTTGCTTTAGTATATAAATAAATACTTTGGAGAATTGGAAATAAGTTAATATTGTTCTGCACCTACGGTACAGAAAGCCTTTTGTTAGTGTTTCTTTGAAGCGCCGTGCGAATAGAAATTAGCCATTCTTGTAAAATTTTATATATTCCCTTTCAAATAAATGCAGAAATAATTCTAATATGTGACCCTGATCAAAATACATTGCATTATTATTATTTTCTTGTATTGCAAATATTTATTTTTAAAGCTCCATAATGTAACATCTATTCTTACTATTAGCAAACTTGCTTTGTCTTTCTATCTTACTAACCAAGATATTCTACACTTTATATCCTTTAAAAACATAACATTTCATCAAAATTGTAATGGCTTCAGTCTATCTGCTTTAAAATAAATATCACTACCACATATTTTACAAAATAAGTGAATCCACCAATTCTTACTCGTCTTCAGCTAGAGTTAAAATGTACGTTTCAAATTCAATTGAACACGAACATTCATGCTTTGGAGAATCCAACTATTTGAAGAGTTTCTGAAAATTTTGTAAAAGCATTAAAAATTGACAGGGTTGGTCAAATCCTGTCCTTCCCTGTCCTTAGCCCTATACTGCTGGTAAGTGAATGTTGAATGAGAGCATAGTACGGGGCGATGAGGGAGCACAGCTCCCTCTTGTGTTCCAAATAAAGATTCTACTGCAAGGAGAGGAACGCATTCCTGTGGTCATTTGATCCACAGGCTGATTAGTATACCTATGGGGAATACAAAGATGGAAAGACAAAGTCCCTGCCCCTAAGGAGATTAGAGGCTAACGGGGAGAGAGATGTTCAACATTTAGATTTTAAGTGATTATTGGGATCACGGAGGTATGTTCCAAATGCAATCAGAACATTAAAGGTGGAAACATCCACACAGACCCGATGGTATCAGAGGAAACTTCATAGAGGAGTTAACACAGACTGAGATTTGAAGGGTTTGCCGGGAAAGGAGTTCGCCGAGAAAGTAAAAGCATTCCAGAGGAAATAGCATGTACAAAGGCATGAAAGCTTCAAAGAGTATGTCAGATTCAGGGACAGGCCTGTAGTTCAGTGTGACTAGAGATTAGGCTGGCTGACAAGTGGAGATGGAAGGGTAGGTGGGACCAGATCACAAAGAACTTTCTGTGTAATGATGAGAAGATTAGATTTTACGCAGATCAAAAAATTATATTTGCTTGTTAGAAAAGCTGTTCTGACACCAGGCAAGTCAGGATAAGTCTGGATTAGGGCAGATGCAGTAGGGAGGGAAATGCATGAATGGTTTCAAGGAATGTTTAAGAAGATGTTCCAGGTCCCTGGCTTATTTGATTGATGGGATGGTGGTGCCAGCAAAGAGACAAAAATATATATATATCAATCAAAAGTGGAGTAGAGACAGTGAATTCAGTTTGGGACCTGTTAAATTTGAAGCATCCATGGGACATCCAAGTGAAAAGCCTGTAAGGTAATGGGCCCTTTTGTGTTTGGAGCCCAGATAGGAGGTCCACCTGGAGACATAGATTTGAGAAGCATACACTATGGGAATGGATGTGCTTCCCCAGGGAATCAGGAAGAGTGCTAAATAAGAGAGTGAAAACAGAATCCTGGATAACATAAACATTTATGAGAGAGAAAGAACTAGCAAAGGAGCCCCAAACAAAAAGGCCAAAGGCAGGAGATTCAGGAGAATATGGAATCATAAATGTCCAAGGAGGAAATGTTTGAAGAAAGAGGGAATGGTCCACAGTGTCAAATACTACAGAGAGGTCAGCAAGGATGAAAGTGGAAACTTCCCTTTGGATTCAGCACTTGGTAACCTAATGAACAAGTTTGGGCTGGGGAGAAGCCAGATTGCAATGAGTTCAAGAGATCAGAAAGTGGAAATACCAATGTACACTATGCTTCCCAAATGCCTGGCTGTAAAAGGAAGAGAATGGGATAAGATGGTAGCTGGATGGGAGAAGGTCAAGGGAGAGAGTCTTTATTCTTTGTGTTCCTAAGATGGGAGACACGGAAGCCTAGCCTTGAAAGAAGGAGCCCACAAAGAAGAAGCATCACAAAGGGATAACTGGTGAGAAAGGTGCTGTCAGAGCCCAGAAGAAAAAGGGCTGCTCATTTCTCTGGGGTGGGAGAGCTGACAAGTTAAGAAAAAAAGCAAAAATTTATATTCAAACTGGGATGTGCAGGTTATATGACTCGCCCAAAAGACAGGATTAGAAGTTAAAACTGTCTGTCTCTATGCGATATTGTGATACCCTAAGAGAGAGCACAAGGGGATGGCCAGCCCAGAAGAAGAGGGAATGGCTGGGGGCGGCAATGTTTTGTTAGGAGAATCACAGTATTTAGAACTAGAAGGGACCCAGAGATCGTCACAACCAATAGCAGATAAGGAAACCAAGGACCAGGTTTTGTGTCATTTGCCTTCCCAACGTTGAATTAGTCACTGCAGAACTGGACCCAGACCCAGGAAGTGTGATTCCAGCCCAGTTCTCTGCAAGAAGGATTGGAGATAAATAGAGTAATAAAATGCCCCCTCCTTCTCAATCTGGTAGCTTCCATTTATTGATATTATTCTGTTCCACGTACTATTCTTAGCACTTTACATACAGAATCTCATTTTATACTCACAATGACCCTGTGACATAAACATTATTATCATCCTCATTTTTTAATAAAACTCTCTGCAAGAGGTAGAGGTGGAAATCAAATACAGAGCTACTTAACTTCGGAGCTTATTCTCTCACTATCTCCCTTAACAAGACACTACCTGGTCAGAGTATATATTATGGAGCCACCTGATCAAACTCGGGCCCCAGTGTAGATCTCACTCAGGGAAATGAGCAGAGCTGGGATCATTGATTGTAAGATGCATTTTTTTCTCATGTTTTGACATCTCTGAAATTGAGGTGTTTCCTACCCAGAATGGCTGCCATGGTTTAATTTGTAGCTTGCTTGTTTGCTTGCTTCCTTCCTTTCTAAAAAAATAATAGCATGTCTAGTGATCTATTCTGACTGGATTTAACAAGACTCAAATTCTGGTACCATTTCCCAGTATCCTGTTCGTGAAGGAACAAACTAGAGTCAACAGTCTAGCTCTGAGATCAGGGGACAGGCAGAGAATCGCTGAGCCAGTGTTTGAGCTGAAATGAGGCCTGGGAATCCAAGTCAAATCTAAATCTAAATGCAGTTGGTGATGCATGCAAGTGGAAGGACAACTGGCCCCAGCCCTGTGTCCAGTGGAGAGCAGGTGCTCCTTCAGTGCTTATTGAGGTGAACGCAATTTAGCTCTGTTGTTCCGGAGTTGCCAGAGCAGGAGCCAGGTGCTTGAGAAAGCTGGACAAACCAGTGTGGGCAGTGCGAGGTCTGGAAATGTGCTACATACTTAGCAGGGCTGTCAGGCCTGTGTTGCTTTGGGGACTGAGGGGGAAAGCCAGTGTTTTTCCAATCTGTATCATCTTTCACCCTTATGCTTTCACTTGATATTAAATATAGCTCTTTTTATGTTCTGTCTGCTTGTGCTGGAGGCCTGAGAGAGATTTTTAAAAAAGGATTATATTTCTTAAAACTGCCCCAAAGGAAGCAGAGAAGCCTCAAGTGTAGTGGTGGCACTGATTCAGGAGGCCTACAGGTTAGGAAGGGGGCTCAGGGCAACGGAGACTGATTGCCAAGTACCTCCTTCTCTCACAGCCAAAGCACGGGCAGGTGGATGGCCAAGGAGCAGTGGATTGGCAGTAACAGTGGAATCTGGTGAGCTCCAGAGAAGAGGGGCCCGATCTGGTTTATTCTTGGATGTATCTCCAGCACCAAGAACAGTGTCCAGTACAGAGGGCGCTCAATAAACATCTGTTATTATTGTACAGCATCTGCCTCCCCTGCACGACTCCACCAAAATGGCTGCTTTTGGACACACATTCCCATTCTATCCTGGCCCCAAGCCAACCTTCCCAATGGACACCACCTTGGCCATCATCATCATCATCTTTCTGACTGCGCTTGTCACTTTTATCATCATCCTGCCTGGCATTCGGGGCAAAATGGTAAGAAACAAACCCAGCCCTGGAGACCCCAGCCCCAGAGAGACCCTGGCCTTGAGGCAAAGGGGACAGATTCTCTCACTAAAACCAGGCTCAGGAAAAAGGTGTCAGTCCTGAGAATGCAACACTTCGCCTCCAGCAGAGAGCCCCCCCCCCATTGATTCCACAGATGATTATTGAGCACCTATTATGTGCCAGGTGCTCTGATCTCAATTGGCCGAATGACCCAAGCCTGGAAAGAGGAAGGGGGGACTTGGAAGGAGGATGCTCCTTCCTAAACCCACCTACACTGTTATGGCTCAGAGGCTGTTCTGGCTACTGAGGATGGTGACCAGCTTATTCATCGGAGCTGTGATCCTGGGTGAGTGTGAAGCTCAGCTGTCTTGGGCAGCACCTCTACCCCATCTGGTTCCCTCAGCAGCCCATCTGGCCCTTCCTTGTTTCCCCACAGCAGCCTCTGCCTCAGAGGGGTGTGGGCCCTAGGAAACCATCCTGGGTGCATCCCCCCCTTTCCTAACATTTTTATTTGGAGGCAAGCAAATTAAAATGAATGGGGAGAGGACATTTGGAGACTGGAGGAAGGAAATGGGGGCAGGACTGCTTGCTTTGCTTTCAGAATTAGGCAAATAGGAAAGATGGAAAGTCTTCAAGTTGAAGCTGTGTTTGCCTAGCATGTTATTACTTTAATGTTTTCCTCCCCAGGCTGCTTGAGTGCCTCTCCCTAAATGGGAAGAGGAAGGGAAGGGGTAAGAGGAATATGACCAAGGGAAATAATTTATTCTTTCCATTTTTGCCAAACTAACTATATGCCAGACCCTATGCTAGTTAATGGATACACGATTATGAGCAAAACAAACATGGCTGCCTTTTAGCTTTCCCTCTGACTCCAACCCAGCAATGCCCAGCACTCCCTAAGTTCCTGTATGTCCAACTCCCCAACCCAGCTATGAATTTCAGTACTGAGTGGTCTGTGGCCCAGGCCAGCACCAACACATCATACAAGGCCTTCAGTTCCCAGTGGATCAGCGCTGATGTTGGGCTCCAGGTTGGGCTGGGAGGAGTCAATGTCATGCTCACAGGTGAGGAAGAGCTTTTACCAGTGACAGAGAGGGTAGCTCTGCTCTGTGTCTTTGGGATCTAGTTTGGTGTGGTCTAAAGAGTGACCACATGGGTTGGAGGTTTGGTGGGAGGGGGAATTCCCAGGCCTTGGAAGCTGCTTTCTCTCCATTGAGACCAGCTCCTCTCCCTCTACCCATTGTGGTGAGCCCCTTACCCAGGCAAATGCCCTTGGGTCTCTGCTGAGCACAGCTGCCCCATGTCTCAGGGACGCCCGTGAAGCAGCTGAATGAGACCATCAGTTACAACGAGGAGTTTACCTGGCACCTGGGCGAGAACTATGCTGAGGAGTATGCAAGAGCGCTGGAGAAGGGGCTGCCAGACCCTGTGCTCTACCTGGCCGAGAAGTTCACCCCAACCAGCCCATGTGGCCTGCATGGCCAGTACCGCCTGGCAGGACACTACACCTCGGCCATTCTGTGGTGAGGGTGGGATGGAGGCCCTGTTAGCCCAGACCCCAGAACAGGGTTTCTAGCCATCTCTCACCCACTCATGTAAAGAACCCAGTGAAATAGGCTGGCACCAGTCACAATAGTACTTTTTGGGGAAGACCAAGGCAAAAATCTCTACCTCACATCTTTGGGGTGTTCTTGGGTCCCTGAGCCTTCATCTGGGGCCCTCCAGGTAGAGGTGCCTGGGTCAGCCTTCACTGGGTCCTGGCTCTCCAGGGTGGCATTCCTCTGCTGGCTGCTGGCCAATGTGATGCTGTCCATGCCTGTGCTGGTCTACGGGGGCCACATGCTGCTGGCGACAGGCATCTTCCAGCTGTTGGGACTACTCTTCTTCTCCATGGCCACGTCACTCACCCCACCCTGTCCTCTGCGCCTGGGCACTGCTATACTGCACATTCACCATGGGCCTGCCTTCTGGATTACACTAACCACAGGTGAGGCCCAGCCCTAAAGACAGCACTGGAGAGCTCAGGGCCAGGGAGGGAGGGCAGGGACCATCATGTTGGTGGGGTTGAGGGGCCGGGTGCCAGGATGCCTTTCCCTTGTTTATAGCTTCTCTCTCTTGTACCCCCCATCTCTTGGATTTCTCTCCCCAGTCCCACTTCCCCTGTCTCCTTGTCCATGCCTACTCTTGTGGGTCTTCTCTCTCTCTCTGTCGTGTCCCTCATCTGCCAACTCTCTCTTTACCCAACTCTCCCAAATCTTCCAATTTCATGTTCCCCTCCCACTTCTCCTAAACACTTTTCTCTGTGTCCTGTATTGCTAGAACCCTTCCCTGTCCCTGCCTCTCATAGTATTAAAGCATCCTGCAGTTTTAATGTCCTCTCCGGTCCCATTATATCTGTCCCTCATGTTCTTTCCCATGCCTACTCATCTGTGCTCTGCCTTTCCCTAAGGGTTTTTCTGTTTACAGATTCATTTCTTTTCTCTCTCTTTGTCTGTCTTTCTCTCTCTCTCCCCCCTGGGATATAATTGAAAGAGCATTGGGCTTAGAGTCCAAAACTCACAACCACTTTTCTGAGTCCATTGCCTTGAAACAGGAATGGCAGGAGTCCCTTAGAGTTGTTCTGATGCTCTTAGGAGAAATAGTCCTTAGGAGGGTGTCACCATCACTAAGCAAGACACCTATTGCCTCATTTTCAGGACTGCTTTGTGTGCTGCTGGGCGTGGTCATGGCAGTGGCCCACAGGATGCAGCCCCGTAGACTGAAGGCTTTCTTCAATCAGAGTGTGGGGGAGAACCCTGGGGTGGAGTGGAGTCCTGAGGAAGGGAGACTCCTGAGCCCTCGCTATAGGTCGACAGCTGAGAGTCCTGTGCCCCAGGACATTCCTCTGTCAGGGGCTTCCTCTGAGGCATGCAACAAGGAGGAGCACCTCAGAGTACCTGACTGTGCCCTATAAGATTCCTCTACCAGGTGGCCACCCCGATTTCCAATCTGGCTCCAGACCTCCTTTGAGTCCCATCAAACCACTGGAACTGCCCACAGGACCGAATGTTTTAGCCCTCCAGGCCCAGTCTGGAGGTGGAGTAGAAAAAGGAGACTCTGCCTATCAATGTTAAACAAATAAAACAAAACAAAATACCTAAGGTGCTGAACAGATGTTGGGGCTGCCCATAAACCTTGTCACGTGGTACAACCAAATGTTTCCGCAAGCAACTCTGCCTTCCTTTGATGCTTTGCCTCTCTGCCACTTATTGAAACCCAGCTTCACCCACATAACGATGTGTGTGTGTGTGTGTGTGTGTGTGTGTGTAGTGGGTCACAGCATGATTCTGTGTTCCCTCTGATCCTATACACTTCCTGTTTTCCTTTTTCCTGGGCTCCCTTTGTTCTTCCTTTACTTCCTCAGCTTGGGTGAACTGACCTCTTGGTACAATGCAAGACAGCACTTGGAGGAAGAAGAAACCAAACTTCTTACCCTGGGTCTAATACTAACAAACTGTGCCACGTTCTCTTTGAGCTTCAGTTCTCAAATTTGCCAAATAAAATTGTAGAACTTGCCAAAGGACCTTAAAGAAAAATCCCAGGATTTACATTTTTATGACTTGCTGACCTCTACCTTGGGCCTCAGACACCATTCCGTAGTGAATCAATTCTAAATGCCATTCCCTCCTAGCTCACTTCGCCGGAAGGGCAGAGGATGGTCCCCCTGGGTGGGTCAGTGGGAGGGTGAGCTGCCTGGTCGCTGTGCGTTGTCACTCAATCCACCTGGGGCGGCTCGGGAAGCTGCGGGCTCCGGTCGGTTCCCCTCTGGGCTCAATAGAGGGCGCCCCTCTCCCAGAGCTTTTGGGTTACTTTGGGTTCTCCAGACAGAGAATCTTGGTTCGGGACAAGGCAGAGAAAGAGAATGTTGTATGGCTGTCACCAGCCCAGAGAAGTCTCCAAAGGACGCATGTCCCCCAAGAGCCTTGAGAAGCCACGGAAATTAACAGAGAAAAAAAATTAAAAAACAAAAAGAAAAAATTTTATTTACAGCTCACCGTGGGAGACTCCAGGGTGCTAGGCGCACGTCTGAGGCCGCCCACCTTTCCCTGGGCTCCTGCAGCGCACAGCCTCTCCCCGAGCTCTCCGGGCCCAGGTCTGGCGGGCACCGCTCCAGACTGTGGGGGACCGAGGCGGAGGAGGAGTCCAAGGTTGAGATCCCTTCATAGGTTAGTACTGATTATTAAGTCCGAGGCCCCGAACTGCTTGTGTTCAGGGTTGCTGAAGTTGAGAGGCGAGCCCCCTCTCGCTTGGTTACCGCAGTTCTGGACGCTTTGGTCCAAGAAGGTTCGAAGCGCGCTGGGACGAGCATAGTGGAGACTCACCACGGCCCCTCCAAGGAAGAGGCACAGAACACCTGCGGCGGCGCGGACACAAGAAAAGGGGACAGTCAGGGCTCTGGAACACAAGTCGGACTGCCCCCTGCAAATATTGGAGGCTACCCCTCACATCCGCCCCTGCACCCCACCTCCACCCCCGCACACTCACAGGCAGAATAGACCTTTAATTTGGATTACAAGATTACAGTTGGTGTGCTAACTGGTCAAGATAAACTCTTCTCTAAGAATGGCATAACAGTGCCTGCCTCTACAAATCGTTTGTAGAGGGGCAAATTGGTAAAATAAGTGAACTCACTTTGTAAACTGGAAAGCGCGCACCGGTATAGGTGCCGTCCCTATCCCCAGCCGCCCCGGGCTCGTCGCTCGGTCCTCACCGGTAGCCAGCGTGACCCAAAAGGCGGCACCGTAGTGACTGCTGAGCGCGGAGGAACCGAAGCGGAGCGGGCAAAGCGGCACACTGGAGATGGAGGCGAAGGCCAAGACGGAGAAGAGCGAGAAGGCGCCGGTGGCCAGGAGCGCCAGGCCTCCGTAGAGCGGGACCGGCATGGCGAGCAGCGCGTTGGAGAGGAGCCAGAGGCAGAACGCCACCCTGCGGGGAGACCAGCGGCGCTGTGAGCCGGCTTCTCCCGGCCCACCCAGGCCTTCACAGCCTCGCTTCCCTGAAGTCCCTACCCCAGGAACTGGGCGTCCAGAACTGCGGTAACCAAGCGAGAATGAGCGCGGGGCTGGGTGGCGGAAGTGCAGGTGCAACCGCCTAAAGGCGCAGCCGGTTCCCAGCCAAGGCCGTCTCCCGGGATTCCGAGGGATTCTGCGGATCTCATGACCTTCTGACCCGAAGGGCGATCGTACTCTCCTGAGCATATTGGGCTGTAACCGCCGCTCACATCCTCCGGCGCGCGCGCACACACACACACACACACACACACACACACACACACACTGCCTTCCCTGCAGCGCTCACCACAGTGTGGCTGAAGCGTAGTGTCCAGCCAGGCGGTACTGGCGGTAGAGCCCGCAAGGGCTGCTCGGAGTGAACTTCTCCGCCAAGTAGAGAACGGGATCAGGCAACCCTTTCTCCAGCGCCTCCGTGTACTCCTCGGCGTAGTTCTCGCCCAGATGCCAGCTGAACTGCTCGTTGTAGTCGATGGTCTCGTTCAGCTGCTGCACTGGGATCCCTGAGGAGGGTGGGGGGGCGGCGGGGTCATCCGGCTGCGCGCAGCCCGGGACCAGGCAACTAAGCGCATTCCGACAGTAAAGTGGAGGCTCAAGAGAACGAGTTTGGCAGCGGTTGGGGAAAACACAAATTCATGAGGACCGAAAGCTGCTTGAACCTGTGGGATCTGAGAGTTCCTGCAGCTGCTCCCGCCGCGCTCCCCCCACCCTGGGGTCTGCGCATTCCAGAAGTCATTTTGCGCCAGTCTCCTCACCTGTGAGTGTAATATTAATTCCCTCTAGGCCCACGTGCAGACCGACGTGGGCTCGGATGCGGGCTGCACTGAAGGCTTTGTACGATGTGTTGGTGCTCACTCTACCCACTGACCATTCTGCGCTGAAGTGCACGGCTGTGGGGAAGAGGCACAAGGTGGAAGGTGGTTAGGGAAACGATTGAAGAGGTAGAATTGGGAGGGTAGTGATGGAAGGTGGGACACTGTGAAGAGAAGTGGGTGCAGAGGTCTAGGGGTCCAATGCGGTATATATACATGGTAGGGACAGAAGAGGGGGCACTAGAAAGAGCTGGAGAATGGAGAGAGGGAGATGGAAACCAATCCCAGGTGCCCTCCGGCAGCTTCCTTTTCACCCCAGGTCTTCTCCCCATCTGATGCACCACACACTTACCCACGATTTCTGCGCCTATGAATAGACTGAGGAGAACTCTCACCAACCAGAACCAGCGCTGCAGGAACAGACACAGGGTCAGGCCTGGGACTCAAGGGAGTCCCCGAGACCTCCCTTGACCCTACGACACCTGGATATTTAGTGCTCCTGCAACTGCCTGCTCTCGACCCACACCCTCTTCCCAGTTACATTCATGGCATTTCGAGGCTGAAGTCAGGCTTGCTTTTCATGCAGTCCCTCTGAGATACTAGCATTTCTGATGTTTTCTGCCCATGAGCTTGTGCCTCCCCAACCCCATTTTCCAATCCACCCTGCGATTGGACTATCTTGCTCTGCCTGGTACTCTCCCACAGCCTTCATTCCCCCAGTTATGTTCCACCTCCTGCTCAGGTCACTGCTATGGTAAGGCTCAGTGATTCCAGAAGTGCTAAGCAGACAGGGGTCATCTCCCCCAAAAGAGGGAGGCCCTGGTTTGCTGGCCAAGTACAGGAGGTGGAAAGACAGCCTCTGCATATTCCTAGGTGCATCAGTTTCTCAGGAAACCAAGGTTCTGGAAGGAGAGGTCCTTCTAGACTTGAAAACAGGCAGCTTAGGTTCTGGGAGAGGGGGAAATTGAAGGGGAAGTACTCAGTCTGCCACAGCTCTGAATCCTGTATCAAAGCATTTGAGTCTTTAGGATGGGGACACCCATATACATGCCTCTTAACCCAGCACACAGTTGAAACACAGCAGTCTGAGCTGCTAGTTTATGTCCTCTTGGCCCCAAAATAAGAAAATCCAGGGGACTGGGTGGGAGCGGCACTGCAGTCTGGGGAGAGGTGGGAGTCCCCGCAGGACTTGAAAGCTAGAATCACTGCAGCAGCCTCCTGAATGACCCCAGCTGGATCATTCTCCAGGATGTCTTGAACCGGACTCCTCCCTGTCCTTGGGAAGGGGTGCTTCCTACACTAGACTTCTGGCTCTGCCCCGCCTATGCTCACCGGACTATTCTGTATCCTTCAGCGAGGAGCCTGCCACCCGTGATGCTCTCCAACCAGACTTAAGCTGCTAACCCCGCTTACCGAGTGGCCACGAATCCCCGGCAAGATAAGCAAGAAGCTGACAGTCAAAGCCAAGAACACCACGATGACAATGAGCAGCGGGACGCTGGCGCCGGCAGCATGCCGGGGCTGGGGGTAGAAAGGCAGCTCGCCATTCCAGGGGGTCATGGTGTACAACTGCTGAACGCAGCGCCTTGACAGGCGGGCGGCCAAGCCGGGAGCGGACCCTGCTTGAGAAGGGACAGCTCATCTGTGGCGTCGGAGCCAAGGATCCCTTCTGTTCAGCCCCCAACCCCCGCGTGCTAGGGGCGCGCGACCCAATGGGCTGGCTAAGTCTGAGCCCATCAGCTCACCTCTGAAGAAGCGCAGCAGCTGGCTGCCCTCAAGCTCGCTGGGTTGGTCCAGGAGGAGTCAGGGAAGCGGGAGAGTGGAATTATTTCTCACTGTGTGTGAGCAGTTACCTTCGCGGCTCTGCGGGTTGCTCAGCTTTTGGAAGCCGTGTGGGACCGGACCCCTTTTATAGCAGCGTGGGCAGCGTGCCCAGCAAGGGTGTCCAGACCTGGCAGGCCAGTCATTGTGGGAAGAGATCATGCAAATTAGAGGCGGCGGTGGCTATGCAAATGAGAAAAAGCACTGCCTTCTCAGGAGGGCGAGCCCAGAGGCCAAAGGCTCACACCTAGTGCTGGCCTGGCCAGAGTGGACACCCGTGCAACTGGCCTCACAGGATCCAGAGAGTAGGGTGAGAGTACATCAGGGAAGGTGCTCTCCTCTTAGGAGCTGATGGGTGGGGGTGGCAGCCAGGTGGCGGAGGCAGAAAGCAGAGCAAAAAAGAAGAGTCCAAGAGGGAAGAAGACTTCTGATCCGGACTGGGGTCCTACACCAG